AGCCCAATAATTTGGTGATCCATTTTCCAGAATCACATGCTGGTAAAGTAAGAATTGAAGGACTTACTGATTTGTATGCACGATAAATTTATGCCCCAACAAATATGGACGCCATTTTTGTACCGCCACCGCCATGACAATAGCCATAAGCTCAAGTTCATAAACCGCCTTGTGCCAGTGTGATGGAAGTAAGGCATGAATAGGGTAATGATCCTACATCACACAGCCCATGCCCAAAGCATCAGATTCAATAATGAAAAGGCGAGAAAAATATGGTAATCCAAGAATTGGGATTGATGTCAGGGCAACTTTTAGATTTTCAAATGTCTTTGTTGCCACTTCGCTCCATAAAAACTTGTCTCTCTTGAGTAGTTGGGTTAGGGGAGAAGCGAGGGCATCATAATTCACAACAAACTTGAGATAATATCCCGTGGGTCCCAAAAACCTTCTAATTTCCTTCAAATTAGTTGGGATTGACCAATGTACCATTGCTGATATTTTCTGTGGATCAGTCGCAACCGCATGGCCCGAGACAATATGGCCCAAATACTTAATTTGAGGAAGCCCGAATGAACATTTCTTCGCATTGGCTACTGAGTAGTGACCTTGTGATACTTGTAAAATAGTGGCCAAATGGCCCAAATGTTCCTAAGAGAAGCATGGTAAATTATCATTGAAGAATACTAAGGCGAACTTACAAAGGAAGGATTGAAGAACATCATTCATCAATGATTGAAAGGTCGATGATGCATTTCTAAGGCCACATGGCATAACCAAGAACTCATAATGTCGTTCGTGCATTCGGAAAGAGGTCTTACCTTCACTCTGATCTTGTGATATCAAGATTTAAGGTCGATTTTAGAAAAAAATCGATGCACGAAATAACTCATCCAAAAATTCATCAACCTGAAATTGGAAATTGATCAAATATGGTCACCTTATTTAACAAGCGGTAGTCCACACAAAAATGCCAACTGAATAGAATGTACACGAGCTGGGTTGGGTGGGGTCGGGTTAGGTCGAGTTAGAGTGGTTTTTTGGACCAACCCAATTTTTCAGGTTGGGTGGTTATTCAACCCGATGGAACCGAATCAAGTGGGCAACACAACCCAACCCTCATATTTCAGGGTTTGTGAAACCCAGATCTGACAAAAAAAAAAAAGAGTGGACCCCATATCTTATATAAAAAAACGATTGATAATCAGATTTGGAAAAAAATACGAGTGAAAAAAACAATTTTAGACCAACATAGATGTGAAACAAGTGAAACCCAATAGACAAGACTGAAACAACGACGGATTTTTTAGTAAATTTTGGGAATACGGGGGATCGAACCTTTAACTTCAAGGAAAATAGTACATGTCAATTACCGCTGAGCTATGCTCCTGTTGGCGAAACAACAACAGATTTGAAACAAAAAAACCAAGTGGAAAACAATGAGTCACAAATCTGAAACAAAAAATCAAGTGGGAGACCATGAGACTGAGATGAGAGTCAGACCATGAAAGATGAGAGTGAGATGAGAGCAAATCCCTCCGAGAACAATGAACAACAACATGATAGAGACGAATGAGAGAGAGATGAGAGCGAGAGAGAAAAAATTGAGAAGAGATATAAGAGTTTGAGACCGTGATGGGATGGGATAAGGAGAGAAAAGAGCCCGGCGACACAATCTAAAGACTTTTGAAAGAAACCCTAAAACTTAAATAACATGTATATACATATTATGTTCGGTTCAGGTTGAACCTAAAATATTTTCTTGAATCCATGAACCGAATCGAACCTTCAGTTCTAAAAGGTATTAACCAAAACCAAGGATTTACCTAAACCAACCCAATCCCTTTGGGTTGGGTTTCTTGGGTTCTTCGGGTTATAGGTTTTTTTTAGCACCCCTACAATTGACCAAGCTTTCACATAAGGATCCATCTTGGGTTGGCTGAAATCGATGCAGTAGTAACACTCAAAAACTCCCACTCAAAAACTCCTCCCAAGTCTTGATGGGTAGTTCTTTCTCTCCCATTGATGCCATGCTAGTGCTAGGTACATCTTTGGAAACACGGAAATGATAGGCCTAAGATAAAGAATGTACACTCTAGGAAAAGGGGTCAGGTCGATAGGGCATAGGAAAGGGATGCAAAACAATTAGGAGGGACCACGGTACATGTAGTAGAAGGACAGTGTAAGTATTTTGGTGTAGGGTATATTCACCTTGGGTAGTATAGGTGTACAAGTATACCCAAAATACCGAGCGGTCCGAGCCAACCGACTAAAACCGACTGGACAAAAGGCGGTTGGTCGGTTTTGAGGGTATGTTGGTCGGCTATCAACGGGTCGGCCCATAGAAACTTATAGGAAAACAATCGACGGACCCTATATAAAATTATATATATGTGCGAGATTTATTAAATACAGACTGTAGCGGCACCTGGAAAAACCAAAAACATGTTTTATTAAATGCGTTGGTTTTCTTGTGATTTTAAGCTTGAAGTTTGATTTTCTTTTTTTCAATTTCTTCACTTAACTCTTATGTCTTCCGACCTCCTTTTCTTTCTTTCCTTCTATTTTCTTTCTTTCCCTCTTTCTCTCCTCTGTGTATCTCATCTCTTCCCCTCTTTCTTCTTCCCCCTTCTCTCTCTTCTCCCTCTCCCCCTTTTTGTGTTCTTAACTTTCTTAACCTTTTTTTTAAGTTGAAGGTATGTCTTCTCCCTCTCTTTTCTCTCTCTTTTTTCTCCCTTTCTATTTTCTTATCCCTTCTATTTTGTTATCCCTTTCTCTTCTGCGCCTATACTTTCCTCTCCTAATCTCTCTTCTTCTCTATATTTCTTCTCCTCCCACCTCTTCGTCTCATTTTTCGTTGGTTTCAGCCAAAACTGACCGACCGCCGGCAAAAACGATCAATCGGAATTATAAAATCTTCCAAAAACAACGAGCTTTGGCTGACAAGAACCGACTTGTCAGTGATCGGTGTCAGTTTGAGCCCAAAACCAATGACGGCCGACCAAAGAACACCCATACTAGGTAGTGGAGTAGGGAGCCATTTTTTGGCTATTTTGTCTGTGGCTATTTGATAGACATCCGGGAGCTCTCTAATTCTCTCTTGGCTCCTTGTAATATCCTCTGATCATAAGTAATAGAAAGGGTGTTTCTATCATAAACAAATAAGATATTGTTTCGGTTTTAAGGATAATAAAACTATATCCCTGCCTGTAAGTTTATTGGTACTGAACTCATATTCACAACCAAAATTAAGTCCCGTGACTAAAATGAAGGAACATGATGTAACGAAAATACCAGTCCTCGAGAGAGTAAAGCAGAAATCAGGAATAGCAAGGCGCCCATACGACTCTGGAAGACAGGAAGAGCTGCACCAAGACTCTGTAATGCACTTTCTGGTGATGTGCACAAGGTAACTCTCAGAACTCTCTGCAAATCAGAGCCCGATTCAATTGAAAGACCCTCAAGTGCATTCGAAATGATCTGTGGAACAAAAAAGATACATATCACATCAAGAATACAATAAAAAAAAAAACAAGCTCTTGATGGCCCAAAAAAATGTGCAATCACTGGATTCAAGCATGACCCAAATAATTCTGCAGAACGCATCAATATCAAGTCAAATCTAATATACCTCATTTCCTGAACAGTGTCCAGATTCTTCAACACAGTTTCCGGACACACCTAAAGTTGCAATGACAGCACTTCTATTAGCTCCACATAGAAACAACATCTCACCCATGCTTCTGATCAAAGCCCTGCCAAAAAAAGTCATCAGTAGATTGAGTAGACTTTCTAAGTATTTAACTTTTTGCCCATAATCCTTCAATAAAAACTATTCCTTGGGAAGTTTCGTAAACTTAAAATGTGACTAAAAAGACCCCTCATAAGAAATTGGTAGATTTTTTTTCTAGTAAGATATTCAAACCCTTATGTGCCTGGATCGGTTCCAGCATTCCATGATGATGTGTTGAAAATAGGAAGGCTTTGCCATGGTTAAGACTAGAGCATGCCCGAAATATAAAGAATTTAATCTCAAGAACAATACCATTTTGCCCCATGCGGTACTCTCCCCATGGTAGCTGTGTTCCACATGGCATGGCATTTAGCACAACAAACAATGGTTTCTGTATATATATATAATACACAAGCATATAAAGCCACACATGCACATGTGCACTGCACCGGCATACATGCATGCATTCTTAAGCATGCTGAGTGGGTTGACACTCAATAAGGACTTGGAAGGATTATTTTGCACTAGTTTATGCATAAAATTCAGGATTGTGGGTTTTTGACTTTACCAAGTTTGTCTGTATTCACGGTTGTCTTATGTATTATATGAAACGCCAGCTTTAAAAATATCAAAAGTAAAAAACACATCAATCTGCACTTGTCTATGCATGATGCAGGGTGGGTGGATTTCTGATTTAATAGGTTAGTGTATTTAAGTTAGTGTCACGCATTAATATAGAGAAAGATGTACTCTTACACCATGCCTCCACCTTGGGATGTAAGGCCGAGACTCTTCCCATTAATTATCTGGGAGTTCTTTTGGGAGGTAATTTCAGAAAGGCTTTTTTATGGGATCATATTGTGGATAAGTTAAGGAAAAAGCTTGAAAACTGGAGAAACCTTATGCTCTCTAAAGGGGGAAGGCTTATGATGCAGCACCTCACAAGGTTTTTTTACATTAAAAGGCTGAAACCTATTTATAGAGGTTTCAAGCTTAAGAATTACATGAGTAACTATTGTTACTATGCAGTAAAAGTAAAGCTACTAAAATAAAAGCTATATCAGTAGCTAATAATCGAGAAAAGCTATGAAGAGCTACTTAACTACATCAATTTTCCCGACCCCAAAATGAAACTCGTCCTCGAGTTGAAAAGTAGTGGAGTTAGAAGGCGGTGAACAATCCGCAAACTAGAAACTCGCTTCTTCTTGTGGTTCAAAAATACTCCAATCGAAAATGTCTTTTTTAACTCATCAAAAAAA